ATTCTGGACCTACAGCTCTGGTTCTGGACCTACAGTTCTGGTTCTGGACCTACAGTTCTGGTTCTGGACCTACAGCTCTGGTTCTGAACGATCTGAACGATCAGATGTAACACGTCATCATGGGTTCTGTTCTGAAGAGTTGTGTAACGACACATGTGGATGTTGAACAGGAACATCAAGCAGGACTAAATGTTTGTGACCCTGATCCTCCTMCAGGGGATCTTCTCTGTTTCCTTCATGTTTTATCTATACATTTACATTTATACATTCTATATTTATATATCTATAATCTGATGTCAAAAATTCAAGCGTTTTGTCGGCAGAACATCAGTTAACAAGAATCGTACAGTGAAGCATGGTGGTGGCAGTATCATGAAATGTGTTTCCTGTGTTTACCGAACTGACGCAGGTCCAGGCAGAGGTTGGCTCCCTCCACAGAGCTGGTGTTCTGACACATGGACCAGACGTTATAGTACATGAAGACCGGCAGGCTGGTGAAGGCCGTCACCCCGAGCCACACCAGGAAGAAGAGGTAGGCCAGGAACATCAGCTGAAAACACAACCACCCATCAGAGCACACAGGAAGTTTGAAGACAACAGCTTTGGGTCAAGGTTCAGTTCTGGTGAGCCTACATGTGGACTTTATAGACCTTTGAATGACTCGTTGCAGACTCGTTTATTCGTCTGTACCTGAACTATGAACTAAGAACCATGTTGACAATAATCCTGCACCAAGAGGAAGGATCCATCACTTCTCCTGGAACTACTCTAGTTTTCTTCTGATGCTCAGCTTGTTCATGGAAGACATTTCTAGAAACGATGTTTTGTTTTTGAAGACATCTGAGGAGATGAAAAATGAAAGTTTGTTTTGTAAAACTGTTCTGTTAGAAAATGATCAGTTTCTGATGAACTTCATCCTTTCTGTTCCTGGTGAGTTTAGTTAGAAAACTGTGTCCATTAAACCCTCCATCAGTCTGAACAACAGCAAAACAAAAAGGTTGGAGTCCAACAGAACCGTTTGTCTTTCTCAGCTCTCTGCTGACGTCTGGTCTCCAGAGGCCTGAACCAGAAAGCTTTTCCTYTGGAAAACTACACACGAGAAAAAACAACAACCTTCCTGAGAGAAAACAAAGTCCATCTCTGCGTCCCTCCCCCACTCCCATCAGACCCATTTTACAGATATCAGGCAGCTCTGAATGATTTCGTCTGTTTTTAAGGTTCTGTTTGCTTAATGCTGCTGATTTTAACTGATTTAATCAGATTGATTTAAGAGTGAAGCACAGAGGGCTTCATGGAGCAGCTAAAAACATCTGTTTTAATAAAACACACAGTTCCTGAACCATCCTGTCTCATATGACTGAACTCTTTGTTTTTTGTGTTGTTTCTTACAAAAGCAGTGAGGCAGCGTCCGCAGGCTGTGATCTTAAACTCCCCGTACAGGTCCCTGATGGCTCCGGTGCTGAAGAATCCCTCGACCAGCAGCAGGACTCCAAACACAAAGAAACCAGCTGCCAGGCCGTAAATGATGTACTTCATGATGTCAATGCTGCGGAGAGAACACCGAGTCTTTATCGGCACACAAGTTATCGAGTGTTTTACATCTGCACACAACTCATCAAGTGTTTGTTTACATCTGCACACAACTCATCGAGTGTTTGTTTACATCTGCACACAAGTTATCGAGTGTTTTACATCTGCACACAAGTTCTCGAGTGTTTTACATCTGCACACAAGTTATCGAGTGTTTTACATCTGCACACAAGTCATCAAGTGTTTGTTTACATCTGCACACAAGTCATCGAGTGTTTTACATCTGCACACAAGTCATCAAGTGTTTGTTTACATCTGCACACAAGTCATCGAGTGTTTGTTTACATCTGCACACAAGTCATCGAGTGTTTGTTTACATCTGCACACAAGTCATCGAGTGTTTGTTTACATCTGCACACAAGTCNGTTCTGGTTCTGGTTCTACAGCTCTGGTTCTGGACCTACAGCTCTGGTTCTGGACCTACAGCTCTGGTTCTGGACCTACAGCTCTGGTTCTGGACCTACAGTTCTGGTTCTGGACCTACAGCTCTGGTTCTGGACCTACAGCTTTGGTTCTGGACCTACAGTTCTGGTTCTGGACCTACAGCTCTGGTTCTGGACCTACAGTTCTGGTTCTGGACCTACAGCTCTGGTTCTGGACCTACAGCTCTGGTTCTGGACCTACAGTTTTGGTTCTGGACCTACAGTTCTGGTTCTGGACCTACAGCTCTGGTTCTGGACCTACAGTTCTGGTTCTGGACCTACAGCTCTGGTTCTGGACCTACAGTTCTGGTTCTGGACCTACAGCTCTGGTTCTGGACCTACAGCTCTGGTTCTGGACCTACAGTTCTGGTTCTGGACCTACAGTTCTGGTTCTGGACCTACAGCTCTGGTTCTGGACCTACAGTTCTGGTTCTGGACCTACAGCTCTGGTTCTGGACCTACAGTTCTGGTTCTGGACCTACAGCTCTGGTTCTGGACCTACAGTTCTGGTTCTGGACCTACAGCTCTGGTTCTGGACCTACAG